CTGACCATGCAGCTTTTTCTAATGTAATCACCGCTTACAGACGAAATGGACGGATTTTATTATATAATATTGTAATAATATTATTTATATGTTAAATATATGTATAATAATATGTATATTCATTATATAACATTGTACATTTAAATATATAGATATGTACATACGAAAACGAAAAAGAACTAAATAACTAAAGTAGATTAAAAAATTAATCTAAAAATAACGTTTTTATGCGCTTTAAAAAGTATGAAATAACTTTCCGGGGGTCTTGATAACCAAATAGGACAGGTGAACTAGAAAAATGTGGGGCACATCTTTACTACTTCATACGTCTGAATATATAATAACATTTTTTTCTCATTAATAACCTACCTTAACTAATAATTCATGCACAATCATCTTTTCTCTTCTAAATAAAATAATACTTAATGACATGTCATGTAAAATTAAGCACCACATTACTTTATGTGTGAAGTAGTAAAGACGCGCCCCACGTTTTTCTAGTTCACCTGTCCTATTTGGTTATCAAGACCCCCGGAAAGTTATTTCATACTTTTTAAAGCGCATAAAAACGTTATTTTTAGATTAATTATTTAATCTACTTTAGTTATTTTTAATAATATTACTATGACGTACCTATCTTAAGACAATCTTAAGATCATAGGCCGTCGCGTACTACCGCACAGCTAAAAGAATATTGTGACACACACTGCAAAAACAATTACTCTGGGTAAACAACGATTTGAAAAGTTGTAGTAACAAATTGGATTTCGTTTGCTTAGAGTTGTTTTCTACTCAAATCTTTAATATAAACAGGACAAGATGTTTTTTAATGTACGGTTTTAATACTAACCTAACCGCCACCACGTGGTACAGGTAGGGTTAAGTGGGGCAAATGTAAAAGCATTTTTTTCAAATGTCAGTAAAAGTATTGAGTTGAAGTTAAAAGTAATTGTCGACGGTATCTAAAAATAGCTTCACTACATATGTTCTGTTGTATAACGGTATTATTAAAAACGATCCGATAAAACATGCGATATTACTAAAAAATATATTTGCATAAAAAAACAAACCAGTAAACTTGTGAAATACAAAATTATTTTATTTTACAATATTATATAGTTTGTGTTGCAAGTTGTATAAGACGGTTTACGCACCATGGCTGTGGTGTACAGCTGCTTGGAGTATATACAATTAGTTTATACAATAATAATATAAGTTATGCGAAAATTGTTAATGTATGATAACATTATATGATATGTGAAAGTTTCAAATGAATAACGATATAAATTACAACGACACTGACGATTATCCACACTAGAAACAGCGGCAGAAATACCATGATAGTCAGTAGTTTCAGCAACAGTGCATAAGAAGTCAATATAAGTAGCAAAGGTGCAATAGCTGTGACTAACAGAACCAGTATTACAATACTAGCCAAAAGCAGCACAATAGCTACTGCACTGACCACAACTGCGTAGTGCACCTTTGCGAATAGGCCTTTGCCTATTTCCTGGATGCCAGTCAGAAAGGTCGTTCCAACAACCTGTTAAATACATTTGAAGAATACAGCGATAGAGTTAAATTTCAAAAATTAATTTTACACTTACAAGTTCTGGTCGGTGGGGTAGGTATGTAACTGTTAAAAACAAAATAATATGTAAATTTCTAAGAGAAGTTTATTACTTGTGTGTCGACCTGCAGGATCGGCAAATTTAATTTTCCAAATTCACTAAGTGAAGTTCTGTCAAGATTTTTGACTTCAGGCAACATCATGCCAAAACCCGGGTAGGAAATCATATCTACACTGCAGTGCAAAAGGCCACTGTCCATCGTCAAATTCCAAATGACTTTATCTAGTCCTGACTGGCGCGTTGTTCCAATCAACACAACGACCATCAACACAAAAACAGTAGAATATAATTTATACATATTGTAATAGCTGTTAGAAATCCTTTGAAACAGGAAAAATTAGCAAAAACGGTTTGGAGAAATATGTTGTTTTACACTGAAATGGTGCGGTGATACAAATGTAATATTAACATCAATAATAACAGTTACGATATAAACAAGCCGTTTTTAATACATATGTACCTATATTAAGAGTATTTGCCAGCATATAAATAAGTATGTAATATGTTTTTTAAATAACATATGTGTTACTTTTTCTTTTTTGAGTGCCGTATTCGTATATGTTAGACTTATCTTCTAAGACTAATTTCCAACTCATAAATTCTAAAATTGCGCATAAAAAGAAAAAAACCCATACATTTTATGAAAAAAATTGTGTTTTATTTTATAAAATATTATTTTACACCAATTCCTTATAACTATATAGGTATATTGTAGGAAAATGTATTTATTATTTTATCGGATGAGCTCTGCATTAGTTCACTCTCAAAATAATTGTAACTTTTTAGTTTTTATTTTTGAAAACATTTTTTACTACAATATTGAACAATATTTAAATTTTTATCTTTTTTTTTTAAATTTTCTGGAGCTTTATCGACCTTTAAAACTATATATTTAGTTAGTTAACTATATAAGTGTTTAATTAAAATTTTAGTGCTTTGCATTGATAATTTTTAGTATAAATGTTTTCACGACGTGTTTAAAATATTTAAAAATATAAACAGGGTTAATTTTTGTTTTTTGAGAGAGATTTGCTCGTGGCGGCCGAAACTCTTGACGGGTAAATATGCAGTGGAAGAAAAAAGGGAATTAATTATTAACTATATGCACTTCTCTCTGGGGCCAACTTGTTTAGTAATCGTTAGGTTGGCAACCAGCTACAAGCCCAAAAATGCCAAATCTAAACCGTCTAAACCCTGATACAAAAAATAGATAATTGGGTTATAAAAATATATATATATTTTATACACACTTATATATATATGTGTGTTGTATAAACGAAATCCGAGCTCTGAGAACTTGTAAAATAATGAAAATATGGAAATGTGTTTCTTAAATCGCTCTTTATTGGTAAATATTCCATCTGTATTATTTTTATAGCGTATGATAATAGTTTTCAATGAACAATATGACCTTGATGGTTTTCAACAGTATGACTGGCAACTGAATTTTTAGGCAATTTGTTTTGTTTTTTTCTAAAGCTGATATCGTTTTCAAAATGTTCTCGAATCGTAGACACAATTATTTTTCTTACGATTAAATTTAACGACAATTGATTTGTAGAGAAACAAACCATAACACATGGACTAAGAACGATAACCTGCAGTATGTAACACATGTGTGTCTAGAATACTGTTAAGTATTTTTATCATTATCAAATAATGAAAAAAAAAGCCAAAAACTAATGCTTTAAGAACACTGTCAAACTGTATACTTTGCAAAAACCAATGGAATAAAGAATTTTTTCATCGATTTTGATATTTTCTAAGAATTATACTTCTATAGAGTTTTTTTTTTTTAAATATCAATACATTTTATCATTATTACTTCATTTATAGATAACTATCGAAGGTTTTTTTAATGCGGCAGTACCTACGTCAAACTGTTCTCTTATTTTGTTTCCTCTAACTTACACACATATGTTATACTTCAAAGTATGTGTGAGTTCATACACTTATTACACTATTTCACAGAAACTCTGAAAATATTTATGCTATACTCTGTAGCCTAACATGATATAACTAAAAAAATACCATGATATTATTCTAAATAAGTTTGTGTTCACCGTTAATTAAATGATAGATATACAGAAGTTAACAAATTTGTAGATCTAATTATTATACAGACTGATACTACAAACATACAAAAACGTTTATTAAGTATTTATAATTACTAATTCAACCCAATCCTTTTACCCCTTATAGTACCAAGGGAAGGTAAACGTACAAAAGAGTACCAATACTCAAAATGTTGCTATTTCGTTGCTGTAAAAATGATTAAAAAATAAAATTAATATTAGAAGTAATGGAACAAATTTAAAATAAATGCTTTGATGCGATACTGGCTTCGATAGCAAAAAGTATTAAATAGAAATAATTTTATTTGTATTATACCTAATGTGTTTTCTGTTTAGTGGCGAATAACAGTGGTGTTGTTGTCGACGAGAGGGGGCTGATGGCACCGGTTATGCCCCGAGTCACGCCAGGAGTGCGCCACAACATCTTCTATTATACAAAACCATAATGTTTATTAAATTGTTATAGCAATATTAAAAATACAAAACTTGTAAAATAAGAGAACATGAAGAATTAGTTGTTAAAAAAGCCCGGACAAAAAGGACATCCCCATCAAAAGGACAAAATCTTTATAAAGAAGATATCTGATCCAACCTTCAGATACAATGCAGATTTGTATTCAAACTACCTGTAGCATTATCAATAAAGTCATTTCCTCTAATGACTACCTACATTCACTAAAAACTACATCATACTCAAGCAATATGTACCAGTTTGATATTTCGTAATTTAGTTAATGATATTTATAATTCCAGAAATATGTATGCCGTTTGGTGTTACAACTTTTGATCTCCTAACAAAATATAATAAAAAAATATTTTGACTAAATGGTTAGGTTTAATAATAATACATTATATTAAAATATCATCGCTGCCATCGTGATATAGTGGTTTCTAGAGTCTAGATGAATATGTAAATTATTAAAAAAAAATTAAACAATTGTCAAAGTAGTAGGAGAAATATAAAATTTACTCGGATATCTGGAAAAACAACTCATCAACATTAAATGTGAAACATTATATTACTATTTAGTTTTTCAGCGGTTATATCAAAATTGTATATAATTATTATAAACACCAATAAAATAATTATCAGACTAAAAATAATTAATAAAAAGAAAAATGTATATTAGTTGTTACATGATAAATAACTATGTTTACTATTCTGATAATTTAAATGAAAAAAACAATATTTTAAAATTTTACCCTAACAATTGCTATTATACATCAAGTTATATTAATTGTATTAATTTGATAAAAGTTTATGTTACTAGATTGAGTAGAATGTAAACAAAATAATGTGTAGTGTTAACTAAATAATAACGTATTTTATTTTATTGGCACGTATTCATTTTTTGACCGATCTGATTATTTATTTGTTGATTTTGATTGGAATATATTTATGCAGGAATATTCATGGTTAATTCTCGTTATCTGATTCGTCTGTTTCATAAGCTAAAAGTCAAAATACCAATTAAAAACTATAAAACTAGGGTTTATACACTTTTGCATAACAATATAATAGTGTTCTGGTACAAAGTCTAAAAGAGAGGTTTTGTAAAATTATATACACATTATACTATATTTACTATATTATTGTTTTCACCCTTTTTGGAGGTTTGTGATATACTTTTTGGGTTGTTAACGTTTATCGACAGTACTTTAACTTGAGAAAAGACCATACAATTTTAACAATTAGATTATTTTTAAAAAAAAAAGTCATTGTGCCGTAATTTCAACGGAAGGGGTGAACTTTTTTAATGTTTGCCTCAATAAAATAACTCTTAGGTACGATTTCTGATCTATAGAGCTGCTATGAGTGAAGAGATCGATTCTGCGGCTTAGAAAATACAATACTTTCTCAGCTACGCATCGTAGATGAATTATCCAGATAATAATACTATACCTGAATCACACACAGAAAATACGTCCAATGGTTGTTTTTCAAAGATATCGTCGTGAGGAACTGTTCTTTTAATGACATCAAATATACGTCTGTGCGTCGACAACGCATCTACATAAGCTCTGGTGGTTAAAATATGGTCGCTCGTGTCTTTGATTAATTTATTGTATTTGCCTCGCGTGAAGGCCTCTAAAATATTGGCGTTGTGATGAAACTTAAGCCGATTCAATTTCATTGGTTTCGAACACAACGACAAAATGTCGGTCATCCACCTTTGTCTGAGTTGAATATTATCGGTGTCGTGTATTACATGTTTCAATCGACGAAGTACTTCCGTTAGGTATTTAATCACTTTTTCCGAAAACAAGTTTAAGTCGATGAATCGTGCAAACGTCTCCAACAGCGTAGACCCGATTTCGGTTAGGCCTTGCACGCATGACGACGTACGTTGGTAAAAGGAAAATATTTGCTTGAACGCGATTGTATATTTGGCAATGCAATCGAAAACCGGATGTACCGTAGCCGCCAGCACTTGTTGTTGGAAAGACCTGACGTGGTCGGCGTTGAAGTTTAACGACACGCAATAAAACGCCGAGATAATATTCTTATGAGAACCGCCTTTACGGCTGGTTTTTACAACCACTTTTCTGATCGCTTGCAGACCGTCGTCGAACTTGGTCAAGTCGCCAGCACCCACCGCTTGTTTTCCTTTGGCCACAATATCAGTAGGTAGTAACCTGGACGTTGCCGAATCGTCATAGCCCGACATCAGATCGTAGAACAGCATGTTGGCCGGATGGAAATCGCCGTATTCACCACGATCCAAGGTTGACTTGAACGGCTCAATTGCTAGATTTTTTAACGTTAGCCAATCGGCCAATAGTTGTTTCGATTCTTTATCGGATTTTAATTTATCCAAATCTCTGACCAATTTGTAGAGATAACCAAAACGGAGTTCGAATCCATCCGGGCAATACGAATGACAGTTAGAGTTTATAAAACGTGAAAGCTGACGTGTCATCATTTTGTAGTTGACGAAAAACCCATTTCTCCGAGACTCCACATCATTGAATTGCGCCGTTGTGATATCTGTTGAAATAATATTCAAGTCTTTCGCGAGGTTGTTCAAATATAAATTGGCCGTCATCAAATCATAGGCAAATACGTTTTTCTCATAATTTCGTAGCTCGTCCAGCATAGCCATTATGTAGTGCTCTAGGAATCTGAGATTGGAGTCGTAATTATCCAATAATATTGCAATAGTATTTTGATTATGTTTTAAAACGAAATATCGTTCATTTATGTCCAAGTAACCTAATATGTACTCCGAAAAAAGACAATGCAGTGAAGTCGAGTCTCCGTGATAATTTCTGATAGTTGATTCTGGAAAAAACAATATTTTAATAAATAAATTATTTATAAATAATTATAAAATATATATATTATTTTAATCTTTATAGATGTTTCGTGACGTGTTAAGATTGTACAAGACTACTGCACTTTATTGTCTAGTCAAATATTTACAAATATTAACTTATTACTTCTTTCAAAGCCTGATGATTGAAATGTCCATAATTCCACCAACTCCAAGCAAAATAAGTTTCATTTCATTCGTACGTACTCAAAACGTGCATAGTTTTTTAGTATATAATGTTAATTTTTTAGTAATAGTTCTTTAAAAGTTAAATTAATTGAATATGTTTGTGGACAGGGTTATCATAAAATATCCAAATATTTAGTTTTTTCCATAGCTCTATCAACTTTTGAATCCTAAATGGTAACGTATATATTTAATTAACTTTTCGAATTAAGAATAACTTACTGGAAGTTTTGACCGGTCAACAGCAAGTTTTAAATAATAATTTTTAAAGTTAGTAAAGCTTGAAATTTAGGACGGAGGTAGGGTGTGGTTGTGTAATGCACACAGCTAAAATAATTCTACACTTCATCCTTCCTCTAGTCCTGATTTTAAACATTAATAAATAAAAAAAGTGAATTAAATATGTAAGGCGGTAAGGGAAAAGAGACCACTTGTCACAAAAATCTATATCACAACTATATGACAACTATACTGATAACATTATACAATGCAATGTATACATATTTAAAGTATCAGAGTCGTGGTCAAATTAAAAACGCAAGACGTAAAGTATAAGAATCTTTAATATGGTAAATTTTTTTTTACCATTGACTCTTTTAACACTATACAGTTTTAATTTATCATTTCATTTTTAAATCAATTATATTACCGGTATCACTCCCGCGAGAAACGATTTTCTTTTTTCCTCTAAAAGCTTTATCTTCAATTGATTTAGTTTCTGCTTTTATTTTTTCTTCGTAACTATTTCTTAAGCCTTTTACTTTATTCTGTTGTAGTTGTTTATCGTCATTTCCATCGTCTGCTATCCTTTTTTCTCGGTACTTATGTTCATTGTTTAAACTGGAATCGGATTTTTTCAACCACTCTTCTGATTTATTAGCCGGTAAGTGTGTTGTCATGTATTGGTTTTTATTTTTTTCTCCCTCCACTTCGCCACTTGACCGAGGACGTAACGTTTTTTTCCACTCGGCAGAACCTAAACTTAATCTTTCTGCACTTTTATGACGTATTGCTTCTGTAACAATAAACAAATTATATAACACGGTTTTATTTTGAATTAGTATTCAATAAATTATTGAACGAGAAATAAGCTAGAGGCCAATACGCAAAAGCGTTAGTATTTGCCACTCTAAAACTTCGTATTTGTACATCACAACCCACTTCTTTATACCCGTTGTTGCTTAAAAAAATAAACAATAAAACCAAATTTTAAAATAAACCAAATTTAGTAATTTGAATTTAGCTACCATTATTTATTAAGGTATAATCTGAAGTAATTTTATTGGATATATGTATTACTGATGGAACATTATAAGTTTTCTTTTCTAATAAAAAGAAATGTATACCAACAAAATGTTAGTAACTTTCTTTATTCGTATATATTAATAAATAAATCATTAGATTGAGTGAAAATAATTAATAATTTATGATATTAAGGAAAATACATGTGAGAAAACATACAGACCATAATTATTATATGTTTGAAAGAAACAGAATAAATATCCTAGATTAGAACCAAGACCTCGTCAATTACTGGTCCAGTGCTTTGACCAATGAATAGCCCACCACTTTAACTTATAATTGTTTTTTTCTTAATATTATAAAATATTAAAAAAACATTACATTTTTAAATCAATTATATATTACCGGTATCACTCCCGCGAGAACAGATTTTCTTTTTTCCTCTAAAAGCTTTTTCTTCAATGGATTTTGATTCAACTTTTATCTTTTCTTCGTAACTATTTCTTAAGCCTTTTACTTTATTCTGTTGTAGTTGTTTATCGTCATTTCCATCGTCGGTTGTCGTGTATCGGCTTTTATTTTTTTCTTCCTCCGCTTCACCACTAACTTGTTCTGGACTGTTATGATGTTTTCTTTCTACAACAATATGATAACGATTATACGGTGAGGGACAAGATGGTGTGATTTTATTTTCAATGAGTTGTATTTAATAAACTATTATACGAGACACAAGCAAAGAGTAAATAAGGAAAAGCGTCACTTGTTTTCGCCTTAAAACTGGTATTTCTCTATTAAACAATGCTTATTAATAAGACAATGACCATTTCTCAATCAGAGACATTGCGCATTTAATTTCTAATACACATATTATGGAATTTTATTCTTGAGCTCATGTCAAGTATTTTAGTTTCTTTTTTGTACAAAAATCGTAAATCATTGATAACGCAAAATGTCCTAAAAAAATGTTCTTACCGTTTGTTTTTCCTCTAACATAAATAGGATCGACAGGTTTTTTTTGTGTAAAACTATTTGCTCTTGGTTTTAATTCAGCCCCCTTTGTATTTTCAGGTTTATCAAGTGGGTCTTCGATAATCGCGCTATCAGATTTTGTTCTTCTATGATTATAATCATTTTGATGAGATTCTTTAGGTTTCTTAAATTTGCCAACCATCATATTATCTGGTTTCGCTATTTCACAACTTTTGTTATCACTACCGATGTCATGCTTTTCGCCTATACTTTCTTTATAAAATGGTTTAAATGCATAAGTTTCTTTAGGTTTTGATTTTATGTCTTTGCGTGTACTTGGATATCGACCATCGTCATCTAATCTTGTCAAATTAGAAGCTGGAGGAATTGCATATGATGCTATTAGTTCTTTTATTGTAGGTCTTTTTTCTTGATTACCAGCAATTGGATCGTTATCGTTTTTTTTTGGTATGATCAGACTTCGATTTGTTTTATACTCATTATCATTTAAACCATCCATTTTTTCGAAATTATCGCCAACAACGCTATTCATATTTGATTCGTTTTCTTCTACCCTTAATGGTTCTGTAATCATTGTTGTTGTACTTGGCGTTTCGTCGAGTATCAACCCTTGACCATCACGTTCTTCTTTTTCCCTAAAGGATGAATGATGAGATGGTTGGTCAACTTTTGTGTTAGAACTTTCTCCGGTATTTATGGTACTATCAATGATTTCTAGAACACAAATACAAATATAAAATAATCCAGTTATACAGGATGGTCCATTAAACGTAAAACATTCATTTTCTCGAAAATTTTTAATATTTTTAACATTTTCCTCCATATGGTTTTAGGTACATAAATTATACAAACAACATTTTCATTACTTTACATTTTTTTATCTTCATCCTTTTTGGGTACTTAAAAGATTACCAACTTCTTTTTTTCAAATGTTAACACTTTTTTTGAATTTGATATGTGTAATATAGAAAAATATTTAAAAACATTATATATTACCGAGTGAACTACCACCTATTTTTTCGTGTATATCGCCCTTCTTTCTCTCGTTCTCATTCATCCTCGATGGTATTCCTAGAGATTTTTTTGACATCCCTGGCGTTTCGTCGAGTATCAACCCTTGACCATCACGTTCTTCTTTTTCCCTAAAGGATGAATGATGAGATGGTTGGTCAACTGTTGTGTTAGAACTTTCTCCGGCATGTATGGTACTATCAATGATTCCTAGAACACAAATATAAATATAAAATAATCCAATTATACAGGGTGGTCTATTAAACGTAAGACATTCATTTTCTCGAAAATCTGAAATATTTTTAACATTTTCCTCCATATAGTTTTAGGTACATAAATTATACCAAAAACATTTTTATTACTTTAATTTTTTTTATCTTCATCCTTTTTGGGTACTTAAAAGATTACCAACTTCTTTTTTTCAAATGTTAACACTTTTTTTGAATTTAATAAGTGTAATATAGAAAAATATTTAAAAACATTATGTATTACCGAGTGAACTACCACCTATTTTTTCGTGTATATCGCCCTTCTTTCTCTCGTTCTCATTCATCCTCGATGGTATTCCTAGAGATTTTTTTGACATCCCTGGCGTTTCGTCGAGTATCAACCCTTGACCATCACGTTCTTCTTTTTCCCTAAAGGATGAATGATGAGATGGTTGGTCAACTTTTGTGTTAGAACTTTCTCCGGCATGTATGGTACTATCAATGATTCCTAGAACACAAATATAAATATAACATAATCCAATTATACAGGGTGGTCTATTAAACGTAAGACATTCATTTTCTCGAAAATCTGAAATATTTTTAACATTTTCCTCCATATAGTTTTAGGTACATAAATTATACCAAAAACATTTTTATTACTTTAATTTTTTTTATCTTCATCCTTTTTGGGTACTTAAAAGATTACCAACTTCTTTTTTTCAAATGTTAACACTTTTTTTGAATTTGATAAGTGTTATATAGAAAAATATTTAAAAACATTATGTATTACCGAGTGAACTACCACCTATTTTTTCGTGTATATCGCCCTTCTTTCTCTCGCCCTGCTTCACCCTCGATGGTATTCCTTTAGATTTTTTTGACATCCCTGGCATTGTTACTTCAAATGCCAACGCTTCAGCTAGGCCAATACGTTCGTTCTTTCCTGTATCGAGTATATGACGAGACGGTCGGTTAGATGTGTTAGAACTTTCATCGCCAAGTATGAATCCATCATGGTAAATGGTTCCTAAGACATAAATAAAAATATTAAATAATGCAGTTGTACAGATTCAACGTAAGACATTCAATTTCTCAGAAAATATTAATGTTTTTGATTTGATTTTTTTCCAATACTTTTTGGGTATACATTGTATTATATTTTACAATACTTAAACTAGTAATTTTGCGAACTTATAGGTGTAATTGATTAATTAATATAATATTATAGTTAACTAATAGGCTTTTAATTTTACTTTTAGTTTTTATTGTATATATCACAAACTAGTATTGAGCTGTAAGCATTATTTTGTACCGTCTAATTTTAGTTAAAATATATCAATATGTTTATTTTACTATGTGTTATCAATGATTACATTTTGGAAAGAGATTTCATCAAAATTTCGACAATTTTTTCTTATATACCTGTATGTGATACTAAATGATAAAATCACTTTCAAATAATTGTATTTTTAGTATTAGGATAAATACGATCGATCGTCTGTTTATAATATTTACTACCATAGTTACTCATATATCATTATTAATAATATAAAGAAAATATTTCCAAATACCTGTTGACTTAGAAATACACTATTGTCAAAGTGTAATTTTACGCTTTATTTTTTGTTTTTCTTTAATAACAACAAAAGTTTGACTACAGATATTTAAGAAAACTATTTATGTTATAGCCCCAGACTAGATATTTCTTCAGTAAAATTGGCAGGTCATAAGTTCTAAAAGTTTAATGGAAACATATAAAAAAAAATAAAAGTTTCTAACATATCAAGGGGAAAGAGTTTTTGATACTTTTTAGGTTGTTTGTATAAAGTAAATCAATAATGAACTATGAAGGATATTCCATATAAATTTGTTACTAATTCGACTATTTTTAAAAATACACAACCTATGTGTAAAAAAAAAAAAAGAATTATGGACTCACCTATAATCGAAGTGTTTAACACGTTCAAAGGTTCCTTTTCAAACATATCGTCGTGGTTTACAGATCTAATAAGGATAACAAGAGGAGCTATGTTTTCTATCAAAGCTTCGGTGTATTTCGAAGTTTCTTGTACATGCAATCTCGTTTTTTTAATTAAAAATGTACATTTTTCTTGGGAGATCATAGCCAGAACTTCATTTGAGGAATCATAAAGAAATCTATTCAACTCCATAGGTTTTGATAACAGCGACAAAACGTAATCTATATGTTTAACGGTCATCCTACTACGTCGTTTGTCATGGAACATGGCAATATTTTGCAATTTAATTGTGATGTCAAGTATATATTTAGCAACTTTATAGGGAAGAAAGTCGTGTATTTGTTTGAATATGTTGACTAGCTTAGATCCGAGTTCACTCATTTCAGTTGCAAAAATAACACTGTTACTTGTGGTATGTAACTGTTTGTACATACGTACATAGTCAGTTGCGCACGAGAAAATTGGATGAAGAGAAGCCGCTATTATCTGTTGTTGGTAAGATTTCACTAAGTTCCCATTAAAACATGATTTAATTGTCTCAAACAAGTCGACAACATGAACACTGTGGTCCGCAATTATGTTGACGTATCGCATCAAGTCCAGTCGGTTATCGGGATCGAACACACCGGCATATGCCTGAGAGCGATTCATCAACTTAAAAACTATCATATTACTCGGATAGAAATCTTCATAGGCTTTCGTTTCAATATTTTTTTCGAACGTTTTTTTAGCTTGTATTACCATAAGATCCAAGTATTCGGAGATTCTTGACAGACTATTGCTTTCCTTTACATTTTTTAGGTCTACGGAACTAAATTTCAAGTTTTCAAATCGTAAGCCAAATTTTGCCTTACAAGCACTACACTTCCGTTCGCAATTTTTGTGGCAAACTGATTTTAGTTCGTCGGTAATAATTTTGTAAATTAATTGAAACCCATGTCTTATACGGGAGTCGTCTTGCTCCAGCTCGTTTTCTTTTCGACCGTTGTCTACTGAATACATTTCAATTATCCCGGTTATGTTACTTAAATACAAATTTACCGACATCAAATTAGTGGGAAACATTGCATATTTCTGTTGCCGCAACTCGTCGAGCATTGCCATCACTATGATACCTTGTTTTTGAAGATTTTCCCCGTGCTTTCGTAAGCTTAATTGGTCGTATACACTTTTGGCGTTCTGTTGTACACTTTTCTCGAAATAACTTTCGTTGAGGTCAAAATAGTCGAGCATGTATTTAGAGAAAATACAATGCAATTTCGATGGGCTATCTAAATAAAACGCCGCATACGACCCCGTGAATAAAAGTATAAATACAAATTTTCGAAACATTTTCATATAGCTATTAAGAAACGGTTAAACGGATCACGACTGTGATGAATGTGACTTCTTGCGCTATGGCGATGTAAAAAGTTGTTTTTTTCGCAAAGAACACCAATGTATGCTGTTTCAATATTGAACAGGTCTTTGTATGAACCGCAGAAATGTTTAACTGAAAAATAATATAATAAATTTAACTTAACGATTTCGACAAGAATTTTTGGTAGCATGCTCAAAACAACTGCACCCACAATACAAACAAAGTCAGCACAGTAGGTTCGGTGTACAGGCGGGTCGGAGAGGTAACAGGTTTTTAGGAATGATTTTTTTTACTGAAAGTAATAAAATCACTTTGAAATATACGCTTCGAGGCGAATCTCCATATTATGATAAAATATACAAATAGTTAGGGTTTATTATTAAAATAGAACCATTGCATAGGTATTTAAATGCCAATAGATAATTAAGTTTTTAAAATTATTAGGTATTATTTTAAATAAAAGACTAACCTGTCCCCCCCCCCCTAAAATCAAAAAGAATGTTACTAAATACTCGTTCGCACTTACTACGTCCTGTAGTAAAATCCAAACTCCCGCTTCATTATTTAAACTTATCCAATTAATATTGTTTTTCACAGATTTACATTTCGCTTTGAAATATATATTTTGTAAAATTCGTTGTTAAATACCTTCTTTAAACCGCCCTTTTGCGATCACAAGGAGTAAAAGCTTTAATTTTCAAATTTAATAATCCTTGGGACCATATTACAAATAAACTAATAATCGGATATATTCTACTGTCTACCTGTTTTATAGGTACGTTTTATAATTATAATTTATAATAATATTAGATACAATGCGTTTACAGCCATTTATTATAAACATATAAAATATATCAATTTTTTTTTTACAAAAAAGACACAGTTGAACGTTTAAATGGAAAATTCTGAATATCAACGGCCAAAGTTTTCGGCTTACATAAGTTTAACACCTGTCAATAAAATTGTTAAACGGGTAAAAACAATATTTTAGCGCCAGGCCACAGGCTTGTATAGTTTATAACTATATAATACATATTATACAATGTTTGACATTTAAAAACCCTGTCGAGATTAAGATCACCCAATTAAAATATTTTCTGTATTTTATAATCGTATAATATGATAAAGTCGATTTACTAAGAGACATTTGTTCGATAAGTCTTATTTGTATACCTATATAACAAATCATAAATGTTATAGCATATTTCTTTTATTGATTTTAGGTTGAGTCAATTCCTTATAAAAACCATATTTCGCTCGCTTTTCAAAATGGTTCGTTGAACTGTATTTTATATATTTTATTACACCATAAAAAAGTTTTTTTTTATTAAATCCATACCACATAAAAAAAAAATGCAAAATATTCTGTCTGATTACAATGAAAAATGAGGCGCCAAAAATGTTTGTACTTTTCAGCAGTGTTGGGAATTAACTAGATAAAAACTACTCATATGTTATCTTATCTAGATACATTTTGTAAAATTAACCTAACCGTTTACATTAGGTTATCTTTATCTGTATATGTATAGATAATTTTTTTATAAATTATCTCCTATCATATCTATATCCTTCCAAGTAGTTTTATCCTACTACTTAAAATTTAGGTTTAAGTATTAGTAACAAAACAAAGTAACAGCTATTTTACCGAGTAATTGTTTCAACGAAATTTGAGTTTAATGCAATTATCGGACGGAACGTGTTAATACCTTCAACTCGATCAGACCATTTTTCTGTCTTGAAAGTGAAAATTATTATTTAATTAGGACACATCTGCATAACTTTAATATTATACTAAGGTTTTAAAAGACGTCATATTATCTCTACTCCTTAGTAAAATCCCGAAACAATAAAGAATAATGTAACAAAGTAGAAAAACAAGACAATAAATTGTCGAAAAGTAGTACACATTCTTAAACTAATACATCGACGCTAAAGCGGCAAAATATATATTTATTTTTTCAATTAATTTACGACAATATATTATACAATAATATACTCGTATCTTTACATATTAAATACATAAAAACACAGACACATAACTCCGACCTACCAACTGGCCAATTTTCAGTTAAAAAGTTGTAATGTTAGGCAAATAAATTAAAAAACTTCACACTCTTGTGGGTTTGGTGATTTAACGAAAATAGGGTCTAATGAAGTTATGGGACGGAAGGTTATTAATCAATTTCATCGTAATAAAAAAATTATCAATACATCAAAGCCACAACTGTGAAAAGTAAATAAAACGCCTTGAAACGAACGCATAGGCAACTAAATAGGCATCAAATAGGTCCGTATCAATGGTTAGTATTTTCCAACTTTTCAACCAGCGTTCTTATTATTAAGCAGCTGAATAAATTTACTTTGTATTCATCGTGCCCGTAGTCCAACAACTAAAATAATACATAAATTGATGGTTTTTTAAATTTCATAATTGTGTTGACTAAATTGACCCAACTGTGTTGACTTTGTATTTTCCTTAAAAGTAATGACTTATGATATTGGATTTAACTAGTTAGATAAGGTTAGGTTAGGTAAATATTTGTATATTAGTATAAACTCCTGCCTTTGACACCGCGCGTGATACAGTTATATACAGAAATTGTACAAAAAAAAAATGGAAATTTTATACGAGTAGGTTAGGTAGAATAGATGTAAATCATTAACATTTGACATTTTTGGGAGGTGGTCTGGAACTTGGCCTTTTTTCACTGTTAGGTTTTTGTTGGGGACATCATTCCTTTTTGGTGGGCTTCAGTATCGCGGGCGACGTTTTTTTTTACGAGGCATTGAATGGATATTGTACGTCGTAGATTCTTTTTTTTTTACGTGTTATTATATCAACTACGTAGATATGTACATAATGCATACATGTACATAAAACTACACTCTGTAGTGAAGCTAGAATTTATACAAGTAGCCACCACCTATGCATAATTATTAATAATATATTAATAAACCACGATAGTAATTAAATTAGTCGTAATTAATATAGTGTAATTTAATTAGTAAATTAGTGAAGCTAGAATTTATGCAAGTAGCCACTATGAATCTCGTTTAGTTTTATAAACGTATAAACGAAACCTAAACGTTTAGATATACACTGTACAATTACACTTTATAATAAACCACGTGGCAAATGTAACAAGAACAAATAACACTGTTACACTGGTATACAATATGTGAACACGAATTAACAAAGACACAAACTACGACCAAATGATGGCTGACTTGAGACGTGGGCATCGACAGCGCCCTGTACCGGCTGTAGCGCGGCGAAGGTCATTAATCCTCCCAACCTAGCGCATTCATTTTGAGAAAATCGCAATTTTCAGATTTTTCCCTTCACTTACACTATAAGACCCACCTTTGTGCCCAAATTTCACGTTTCTACCTATACGGAAAGTGTTTTATAATTTCGATGATGAGTGAGTCAGTAACAAAAATGCAAGTTTTGAAATCCTCCCATTTTAAAACGGCTAAGTATTAAGGCTTCAATTTTAGACAGTGTCCTAAACTATTTAAGTTTAATCTAGGTAGGTTTCAAATTTTAAAAAGAAGTAGCAGAGATATGAGAGTTAGAAATACCGGGTGAATTGGTTCGTCTAAAGATACACTGGCATTGCTAGAACTTGGCCGGCGCACTACCGTGCGCTCAGATTTGCTAATTAATTAAATATTACAAACATTGCCATGGCTCTTAAAAACCAAAATTCATTCATTAATACATTGTTCAACAATCAACATATCAGGCTGCCCATTTATCGACAAGTAATGTATAAACATATTTTAAACGTGCACAATAATAAAATAATGGGATTTAGTTTGTATTTAATTTTTTGTGCTGTGTTGAAAACTAAATTGTATGCAGTGTGTTACATCATATTATATTATTTAAAAAAAGAATATTGTGTTTAAATAAGTAAAATAAACTCGTATCTTTCGCCATCGACGTGAACGAGTTAAAGTAATTTTGGGTTTTTCCCGATAGGAATTTTGACTTTTCCATAATAATTTTGAGAATTCCAAAAAATTTTGGAATTTTTACAACCAAATTAAGATTTTTCCAAAACAATTATGAGAATTCCAAAAAAATTTGGAATTTTTACAACCAAATTTAGATTTTTCCAAAATAATTTTGGTTTTTCAATTGTTTGGATAATTAAATATTGTATTTATTAAAAGCATTTTCTAGACGTTTATTTGGGCCGTTCCCGGTGGTACTGCAATACCGGGTCAACCCGCGGTGGAGTAGGAGCAAGCCCCAAATTCTCCACCAATTTGAAAAAATTAGTTTAACATTTGAACCCCACGATGTGAGGTGTATCAGATGTTAAGCTGATAAGAACAGAGTTTTTATTTGAATTTTATACATTGGTTCATGAATACATACTTATCTAATTTTTCACATATAATAATTTTAAACATTCTACATAAAAATGACATAGAAAACAAAAAAAAGTAAGAATAATAATAAGTAGAAATCACAGTATATAAAAAAGAAGGTAAAATAGGTAACATTGTGTGCCGGCCTACAGCTGCCGCTGCCGTACGTCAGTGAGGTGCTCGATGTATATATCTCGAGTGTATCCAATCACCTCACTAACGCACAGTTTTCGCAACAGCGAAGCGTATGACCGCGCACACAGCTTCTGCAGGAGCAGATCGTTGCTCGGGTCCCAAGACCCGAGTGCACCCACTACCACTGGGTACACCACTGCTCCTGCATTAGCCTCGGCCAACTCGGCCCGTAAATCTTCATATTTCGCACGTTTCCCGTCGGCGGCTGTCTTGAATGATGCAATGCGGTTTTCGGCCGGGATCGTCACGTCGACGATATACACCCGACCGTCACGCCTGAGCACCAAGTCGGGCCGCAGTCCTCCGCTCCCGATCACCTGGTTCTCGCTCAGAATTTCGAATTTGGGTTCCGCCGCCTTCTTAATTCTCGCCACCACCGCGTTGTGGCGGGCCATGTACATGGCGGCATAGCGCCAGCAGTGGTCAACGACGTGGGCTAGGCTTT